AATAATGGTAATAATAATAATAATAATAATAATAATAATAATAATAATAATGGTAATAATAATAATAATAATAATAATAATAATAATAATAATAATAATGGTAATAATAATAATAATAATAGTAATAATAATAATAATAATAATAATAATAATAATAATAATGGTAATAATAATAATAATAATAATAATAATAATAATAATAATAATAATAATAATAATAGTAATTAAGAAGAAGAAGAAAATCAGACTGAATTCACCAGGGTTTGGTACGTGGACCCCTAAATGTTTTAAAAATGAATGAAAGTTGAAATAAACGCAACATTAAGGTTTGTACTTCCATAAAGATCTTCTATCTAGGCCACAATCATGCATGCGTGCCCTTGTTAGGCCCCTGCTGCACAATGCAGTGAGCGACTCTCTGTTATTTAGCGTGTTGACATTTCTCTGTCAGTCTGTGTTTGAGTGAGCGCTGTGAGCGCCGAGTCAGAAGTGAAAGAGACACTGCCTTCTCTTCACTACAAACACACATTCAGGCCAGGGACAGTTGCACACCACAAACAATGCAGTTGTGCAGTTTGTTCTGTCAAAATCAGCTGGATATTTATTTTAGAAAGATAAGTTGAATGAAGATGGAGCGTAAAATTGCATGGCTGAATAACAACATACAGATGTATCGCAGAACTGCCCCACTTTTAAACTACTGACCCCACTGCAATAAATATCTGTTAGTGAACATTTTCAGTATTTATGGTAGTGAATTGCATTATGGGATGTTGATGTTGTCAACAATGCAGTTACAAAGTGACTTTTATTGACATTTTAGTAGCTTGGAATATTATAATGTATAAGAAATAAACAATATCTAGAGAAATAAGTCTAAAATAACAGAAAATGTGCTGCAATTTACTACAAGATGTTTGTAGTGTAATATACAACACCAACCCAGACAATAGATTATTTTAAACTATTAAAAATGCTCATAAAAGTCACTTTTTCTAACTTTTCAAGAATAAAAGTTGTTGGAAGATGGGTCAAGGTCTCATAATGCAATTCAAAGCATAAATAAATAATAATAAAAACATGAATCACAAAATGTGGAAAACTGCTGATTTACCGATATCTTTAAAAATAAATTACGATTCTATCAACATTTACTTGTCCAGGGGTGCGTTTCCAAAACCATCGTCAGCCAACTAAGGTCACAATTTGTGTCGCTACAAACATAATTTGTTGATTTGGCGTTTCCCAAATCCATTGCTCCAACAAACATTCGCGAACTGCGTTGCAAACTTGTGCACTTGCAACTACACCCCTGGAGCTGTAGTTAGAAACAGAGTTCCTGGCTGTGTTCGATTCCCAATTATCCCCCCTATGCCCTATTCCTTTAGTACATTCTAACATTTAAACTTGGAACTATTTTTAATAAAATCATCAAGGTCATCTCTCTTAGCTTAATTTGCTTTCAAAGTATTTTTACAGCGATCATCATTTCGCGTTTACTATTGTGCTCTCTTCGCAGTGCACTTTGAAAACATTGATGTCATGTTGAACACAGCCGTGGCTCAAGACGAAAGCTATAGCTGACCTATCATTTAAAAGAGGAATTTATGTTACGTCTCCAAAGCTTGGGAAAACAAAAAAACAAAGCATTCGGTACTGCTTTTAATTTTAACTGATGCAATTCACAACAGCTTCAATAAACAGAGGAAACCCATGGATCATGAAGTACGGCACATGTTAATTAATAATTTAAAAAAGGTCAGCCTATACTCTTTAAATGTAAATGTAAAAATATAATGAAATCCACTTCACTATAATCTATTTAGAGAGTGTAGCCATGAAATATTACTCAGTTCATTTTTACCCACTCAGTATGTGTGCACTGCTGGAGCACTGTATGCAGTAAAATAATGATACACTGTATTATAGTGTATTACACTGTATTATATACTGTATTACAGTTTGTTGCTCTCATTAACAGGACACTTTAAACAACAACTCATTTTCCAAGAAGTTCAGCTGGCAGCAGAAGATCTCTCAGACCCTGCCGCCCCGTAAAGGAGGTGAGTGTAACATGACTGTAATAGTACTTAATTAAGGATTTTGGTAAGTTGGTATGGCACGTTATTCTAAGTAAAACCCAATATTAACCTGGTACTAGTAAGATGTACCTAATAAAGTGGCCAGTGAGTATGTATATATATATATATATATATATATATATATATATATATATATGTTTATATATATATATATATATATATATATATATATATATATATATATATATATATATATATATATATATATATATATATATATATATATATATATATATATATATATATATATATATATATATATATATATATATATATATATATATATATATATATATATATATATATATATATATATATATATATATATATATATATATATATATATATATATATATATATATATATATATATATATATATATATATATATATATATATATATATATATATATATATATATATATATATATATATATATATATATATATATATATATATATATATATATATATATATATATATATATATATATATATATAGATATATATATATATATATATATATATATATATATATATATATATATATATATATATGTATATATATATATATATATATATATATACATATATTTGTATTTACTCTCCGGCCACTTTATTAGGCACATCTGGTTCATTAGGACTAGAACCAGCAACCTTCTAGCTGTAAGGCAGTTCTGAAAGCCCATCACCGGCCACTTTATTAGGTACAATTTACTAGTACCGGGTTGGACTATTTTGCCTTCAGAACTGCCTTACAGCAAGAAGGTTGCTGGTTCTAGTCCCAGGTGCGTCAGTTGGTATTTCTGTGTGGAGTTTGCATGTTCTCCCCATGTTGGCCATATTGTACAGTATGAGTGTGTATGTGTGTGTGTGTGTGCATGTGTGTGTGTGTGTGTGTGCATGTGAGAGTGTATGGGTGTTTCCCAGTGATGGGTTGCAGCTGGAAAGGCATCCACTGTGTAAAACATATGCTGGAAGAGTTGTTGGTTCATTCCGCTGTGGTGACCACTGATAAATAATGTGACTTAGCTAAAGGTAAATAATTGAATATGTGCAATTATTTGTTACAATTCTTGATCCAGTTGTAGTTGGTTTATGATCCAGCTCATTGTACAGTATATCAAACTTCTCTCTGTTGTGTCTGTTGACAAAAGCACAGGCATGTTTTGCTGCCAAGTGCAGTCATGAGAATTCAGTTTAGTCCAGTCATCTACAAAAACATGTTTGCATGCGCAGTCTAGCCGAACAATAGGAGAACTTGTTGGCCAAACTCTTTGAAAAATAAAACAATCATTTTAGCAGTCAGCAGGTTAGTAGTTTTATCATTGACCACCTCCACACATTGGCTGTGTAAAACACATGCTGGAATAGTTGGTGGTTTATTGGTGACTCTTGATTAATAATGGGACTAAGTCAAAAAGAAAATGAATGAATGAATTAATTAAAATTCTTCCTTTTTTATGAATTGTAAATTTATATCTGACGTTTTCCCCCAATCATTAGATAGCACCCCAGAATTCTGACAGATCAATTCTGAGTTTATATCTAAACATGTTTGTAACAATCATTAACTTGTTTGTTAATTTCTTGATTTACCAGCTGACCTGACGCCACCCTGCGAACACACGTGTCTGAGCGACGAAGAAAAGCACCAACCGAGTCGAGCTCAGATGAAAGACTGCGGCACATCGACAACAGACAAACCGAACATCTGCCCGTCCAAACACACTCCAGCTCCAGCTGCAGCGGTATATAAACCCAGAGAAGCAGCCCACTGTGAGCGCATACGCTACCACACAGACGTCCGGCTGGAGCCCACAGAAGAGATCTATCTGACGCCCATACAGCGCTGCACTGAGCCTCCGGAGACCCAGAAAACAAAGGTAATACTGGAGAGATCTGAGAATGGAGATATCCCAGCCTTTTCTCATGTGTGGAGAAGGGTAAAGGAAAGAAAGGCAGGGAGGGAGGAGAGGAAGGGAGGAAAGGAAGGGAGGAAGAGAGGAAAGGAAGGGAGGGAGGAAAGGAAAGAAGGAAGGGAGGGAAAGAGAAAGGAAGGAATAAATGAAGGAAAGGTTGAAAGGAAGGAAGGGTGGAAAGGAAGGAGGGAAGGAAGAAAGGGAGAGAGAGAGAGAGAGAGAGAGAGAGAGAGAGAGAGGAAGCAAGGGAGGGTGGGAGGAAGGAAGGGAGGGAGGGAGGGAGGGAGGAAAGGAAGGAAGCAAGGGAGGGAGAGAGCAAAGAAAGGGAGAGAGGGAGGAAAGAAGGGAGGAAGAAAAGAAGGGACGGAGGGAGGGAGGAAATGAAGGGAGGAAGGAAAGAAGGAAGAAAGGAAGGAAGAAAGGAAGGGAGGGAGCGAGGAAAGGAAGGGATAATGGAAGCGAGGGAGGAAGAGAGGAGGAGAGGGTGGGGAGGAAGGAAAGAAGGAAGGAAGGAAGGAACGAAGGAACGAAGGAAAAAGGGAAGGGAGGGAGGGAGGAAGGTAGGCAGGAAGGAAGAAGCAAGGAATGGGGAAGAAAGAAAGGGAGGGAGGAAGGAAGGAAGGAAGAAAGGAAGGAAGGAAGGAAAGGAGATAGGGAGGAAGAAAGGATGTAAATAAGGGAGGAAGGAAGTCAGGTAGGAATGGACAAAGAAAGGAAGGGAGGGAGGAAGGTATGCAGAAAGGAAGGACAGGAGGGTGGAAGAAGGGAAGGGAGGGAGGAAGGAAAGAAAGAAGGATGAAGACAAGGAATAAAAGAAGAAAGGAAGATTGATAGGAAGGAAGGAAGGAAGAAAGAAAGAGATGGAGGAAGGAAGGACAGGAGATAGGGAGGAAGCAAGGAAAGGAATGAGGAAGGAAGGAAAGGAGGGAGGAAGGACGGAAGGAAGGAAGGAAAAGAGGGATGGAAGGAGGAAAGGAAGGAAGTAAGCGAGTAAGGGAGGGAGGAAAGGAAGGAAGGAAATGAGGAAGAATAGAAGGCAGAAAAGGAAAGGAGGAAGGAAGGAAGGGAGAAAGGAAGGGCGGAAGGGACAGTAGGAAAAAGGAAGGAAGAAAGCAATGAATGGAGGAAAGGAGAGAGGGAGGGAAGGAAGGAGGAAAGGGGGAAAGGAAGGAAGAGAGGGAGAAAGGGAGAAAGGAAGGAAAGAAGGGACAAAGGAAGTGAGTGGGGGAAGCAAGGAAGGGAGGAAAGGAAGGAAGGGCGGGAGGAAGGAGTGGAGAGAAGAAGGAAGGCTGAACAAACAAACAGTGGGATCATGAACATTGTTCTGCACTCTACAGCGCAGTTTTCCACATGTTGTGCTGTATTTTCACTGATTCCTGCATACAGTGACACTGACCTCTGCTCTGTAAACAGGTGATGGTGAGCTCTGACAGTGAAGCTCCTCCGCCGTACAGTGAGCAGGACCTGCAGCCGCCCTCATATTTCTCCTGCGTGGAGGCTCTGGCTGTGGACAGCAGCGGAGATGAGGAACCCACAGTGGATGATCTGTGCTATAGAGACTGTGGCGCTGGAGAAGCTCATGCGCATCACGAGAACCTGCCCAAAATAATACACACCTCAATGAGCAACTCTGATGCTAGCGGACTTTCCTACGACTCCGTCAAATACACACTGGTTGTGGATGAACATGATCAGCTGGAGCTGGTCAGTCTGAAAGAGTGTTACCGTGGTTACAGTGACGACAGCGAATCGCCTACGGTTTACGATAACTGCGTTTCTTCTCCGTATGAGTCGGGTCTCGATAAAGAGTATGAGGAGGAGAATGACGGAGAAAAACTAAGCAGGATTAAAGCTTCATTTGAGGACTCCACCCCTGAGGCCGACATCCCGTTCTCTCGGAAATTCGTCAACGTTTTTATGAACGGCTGTTCACGATCTTCTAGTGAGTATTGGGGTTTGTTTTTGCATCTGTATTAGTGTAAGAGATATCTATTATGGTTATGAAGTGCATTATACTGTGATTATACACTTAGGCCACTTTATTAGGTACAGCTGTCTAACTGCTCGTTAATGCAAATTTCTAATCAGCCAATCACATGGCAGCAAATCAATGCATTTAGGCATGTAGACATGGCCAAGACGATCTGCTGCAGTTCAACGCGAGCATCAGAATGGGGAAGAAAGGGGATTTAAGTGACTTTGAATGTGGCATGGTTGTTGCTGCCAGACGGGCTGGTCTGAGTATTTCAGAAACTGCAGATCTACTGGGATTTTCATGCACAACCATCTCTAGGGTTTACAGAGAATGCTCCAAGGAAATATCCAGTGAGCGGCAGTTCTGTGGGCGCAAATGCCTTGTTGATGCCAGAGGTCAGAGGAGAATGGCCAGACTGGTTCCAGCTGACAGAAAGGCAACAGTAACTAAAATAAGCACTTGTTACAACCGAGCTCTGCAGAAGAGCATCTCTGAACACACAACACGTCCAACCTTGAGGCGGATGGGCTACAGCAGCAGAAGAGCACACCGGGTGCCGCTCCTGTCAGCTAAGAACAGGAAACTGAGGCTACAATTCACACAGACTCACCAAAACTGGACAATAGAAGATTGGAGAAACGTTGCTGCTCTGATGAGTCTCCATTTCTGCTGACACATTCAGATGCTCGGGTCAGAATTTTGCCTCAACAACATGAAAGCATGGATCCATCCTGCCTTGTATCAGCGGTTCAGGCTGGTGGAGGTGGTGTAATGGTGTGGAGGAGATTTTCTTGACACATTTAGGGTTCATTAGTACCAATTGAGCATTGTGTCAACGCCACAGCCTACCTGAGTATTGCTGCTGACCATGTCCATCCCTTTATGAGCACAGTGTCTCCATCTTCTGATGGCTACTTCCAGCAGGATAACGCACCACGTCATAAAGCTCAATCATCTCAGACTGGTTTCTTGAACATGACGATCAGTTCACTGTACTCAAATGGCCTCCACAGTCACCAGAGCTCAATCCAATAGAGCAGCTTTGGGATGTGGTGGAACGGGAGATAGGCATCATGGATGTGCAGCCGACAAATCTGCAGCGACTGCGTGATGATATCATGTCAACATGGAGCAAAATCTCCTGAGGAACATTTCCAGTATCTTGTTGAATCTCTGACTCGAAGGATTAAGGCAGTTCTGAAGGCAAAAGTGGGTCCAACCCTGTACTAGTACGCTATACCTAATAAAGTGGCCGGTGAGTGTATATGATATTGGTAGTAACACTTTAGTTTAGTTTACAATTCGTGATACTAACGAACCAATAACAAACACTACTAGCTTAATAAACTACTAATTAGCTGCTATGAATTGCAATGTTCTTATTTATGTAAAGAGTGTGTTAATGCACAGCAGCAACACAAACATCTTTAGGCCTGCTGAAAACGCTCAAACATGTTGCTTATTACACACACAGGGATGCACAGCAGCAGCACAAATATCTTTAGGTCATACCTGCCAACATTCGAATCATAAAATCTTGGATGATTTAATCTGGGGGGTGGGGGGGGGGGTGTTGGTTAAAGTGCAGGTATGCTTTAGGTCTGTCCAAAACACTCATACATGTTGCTTATTACACACAGACGGATGCACAGCAGCAATACAAATATCATTAGGCCTGCCCAAAACTCATACATATTGCTTATTACACACAAAGGGATGCACAGCAGCAACACAAACATCTTCATCTTAAATATGTATAGATTTTGAGACTGCTGTTCACAACTCTCTTTGACTTTGCTTCAGGCACAGAGTCGTTTGGCTTGTTTTCCTGCTTAATTAACGGAGAAGAGAGAGAGCAGACGCACAGAGCCGTCTACAGGTAGAACACAGATGACCATTTACATTTAAACACCATTCACAAAGTCTTCACTACACATGAACATGTGAAGCTGTTAGTGTGTTCGTGTTTAACTACATTTTCAGAGCTAAACAGAAAGACTATCATACCATAACCAAAGATAACCAGTGTTACTATTTATATTTAATATTCTCTTCACAGCTTCCAGTTCATGCAGACTTTAACTGGTGATTGAAAAGAGGCCTACAAGATGTAACGTGTATTGTGTTTGTGTCAGGTTTATACCTCGCCATGATGATGAGCTGGAGCTGGAGCTCAATGATCCTCTGCTGGTGGAGCTTCAGGATGAGGATTACTGGTATGAGGGCTACAACATGAGGACTGGAGCTCGCGGGATCTTTCCTGCTTATTACGCCACGGAGGTCTTCAGGGAGCAGGAGCTGGCTTCAGATGGTAAGATGTAAAGATCACTCCATTCCCCATCTCATTTACTCTGCTCGAGTGCTCCTGACCGCTCATCCGCTCTTCATGTTTTGTTCTCAGAAGTGAAAAGCTCTGAATGGGTGGAGAAATACACAATGAAGTTCCTCGGCTCGGTTCAGGTGATGAATCACAAAGGCAATGACGTTCTGTGTGCAGCTATGCAAAAGGTGTGAAGCTTTACAGTAACGCTCAATGAGCTTAAATGTTTTAAGACCTCATTGTGCATCAGCCTGCATTTTTAAATATAAAATACGTCGCTCTGGGTGTGTTTTGTTGTACGTTTCAGATGACAAATCCACTAGAGGGTGCTGCTGTCTATAATTTTTGTGAATCTATAATACCTTACTTAGGGTTCATTTTATTGCATGTTTCTGAGAAAAATCCACTAGAGGGCGCTGTGCAATTTATTTTTATTTTGAAAATCTGAAATACGTTACTAAGAGTACATTTTCTTGCAAGTTTCCGATGACAAATCCACCAGAGGGCGCAGTCCACCATTTTTGCGAATCTGAAATTCGTTACTTGGGGTTTGTGTTTTTGTACGTTTGTGATCCTAAATCCACTAGAGGCTGCTGTCTAAATACTTTAGAAATCTGAAATGCTACATAGGGAAATATGTTACTCAAGGTTTTTGTACATATCCGATGACAAATCCTCTTGAGGGCGTAGTATACAACTATTGCAAATCTAAAATGCACTACTTAGGGTATGTTTTCTTGTATGTTTCTGATGACACATCCACTAGAGGGTGCTGTCTACATATTTTGCAAATCTGAAATATATGTTACTTGGGGTATGTGTTCTTTTTACGTTTCTGATAAATCCACTAGAGGGCAGCATCTATATATTTTAGGTATCTGAAATATAATACATAGGGTATGTTTTCTTGCACGTTTCAGATGTTTAATCCACTAGTGGGTGTTCCCTTCATATTTTGCAAATCTGAAATACGTTACTTAAGGTTTTTGTACGTTTCCAAAGACAAATCCACTAGAGGGTGTAGTATACAATTTTAGTGAATCTAAAATACATTACTTGGGGTATGTTTTCTTGTATGTTTCTAATGACAGATCCTTTAGAGGGCACTGTCTACAATTTTTGCGAATCTTAAATTCGTTACTTGGGGTTTGTGTTTTTGTTCATTAGAAACTTAAGGTTTTTATACGTTTCTGATGACAAATCCACTAAAGGGCACTGTCTACAATTTTTGCAAATCTATAATATATAACTTAGGGTTTGTGTTTTTGTATTTTTCCGATGAAAAATCCTCTAAAGAGCGCGGTCTACATATTTAGCAAATCTGAAATACGTTTCTTAAGGTTTTTGTACGTTTCCGATGACAAATCCACTAGAGGGCGTAGTATACAATTTTGCGAATCTAAAATACGTTATTTAGGGCATGATTTCTTGTATGTTTATGATGACAAATCCACTAGAGGGTGCCGTGTACATGTTTTAGAAATCTAAAATACGTTAATTAGGGTACGATTTATTGCCCATTTCAGAAGTATAGTCCACTAGAGGGCGCTGTTTACACATATTTTGCAAACCTGAAATATGTTCCTTAAGGTTTTTGTATTTTTCTGGTGACAAATCCACTAGAGGGCGTCGTAGACCATTTTTGCGAATCTAAAATACGTTACTTAGGGTATGTTTTGATGTATGTTTTTCTGATGACAAATCCACTAGAGGGCGCTTTCTAAATATGTCTACAAATTGAAATACATTTCATAGGATATGTTTTATTGCACTTTTCAGATGATTAATCCACTAGAGGACTCTGTCTGGCTATGTTATTTAGGTGTGTGTTTTGTTGTGTTTCAGATAAAGGTACTTATTGTACATGTCCACTAGAAGGTGGCACTTGTCGTACAGATAAACTAATGAACCATGAGTAAAACCAAACCAATAGTGTTTTCAGAAGCAGATGTAAGAGAAAAGTGCACCGCGAACACAGTTTTTCCTTTATTTTACATTGCTTTTATTGTTTTATGTCTTACAGCATAACACTGTACAAGGTGAGCTACATGCAAACTGACCACCCCAGAAAAGTGTCCATATGGAGACAGATACGTGACACAAATGCATTCATTACAAATCATAGACAACATTAAGATGTTGTGTGGTGTTTATTTGGTGTTGTGCAAAGAACTGCACAAAAATAATGCTTTATTCCTCAATAAAATGCCCCTGTAAATATCATTAGTGTGAATAAGAACAGAAGTTGTTGTCATACTGCCCCCTAGTGTTCACTTTACCTACAAACTACAGTCAAGTGTGCGTTAAGGTACATTTTTGTGGTTTAAAAAAAATGTAGGCTGAAGCACACACACACACACATATATATATATATATATATATATATATATATATATATATATATATATATATATGTATATATATATCTGTATATATCCATCTAATGCTGTTTACTAGATTGAAGATGTATTTTTATGACTGATTCTAGATTGCGATGAACAGGAGACTGACTGTACATTACAATCCTCCGTCATCCTGCATCCTGGAGATCACAGTGAAGGGGATAAAACTCACCGTACAGGAGGATTTCGAC